ACGAGCGGCATGGGGAGCATACCGGCTCCGTGCCCACCTCTTCGATTCCGCTGTCCTTCCTGCCCTAACCTACGCCTCAGAGACTTGGACTCTGCGCAGGCAGGACGAGCATGCGGTCAGCGTTATCCAACGCGCTGTCGAGAGGACGATGCTAGGAGTAACCCTATACACGCAAGTGCAGAGGGGAATCCGGAGTGCCGAACTACGCCAACGATCGAAGATCAGGGACGCTGCCGTTTTCGCCAAGGAATCGAAGATAAGGTGGGCCGGACACGTCATGCGATTTTGCGATGACCGTTGGACCAGAGCGGTTACCGACTGGATCCCTCGGGACGTCAAACGAACACCTGGACGACCGCCGGCCCGATGGTCAGACTTCTTCACGAAAGCTCTGAACGAAAGGAATGAAGGACTTCGTGTCCCTCGAGCGAGGAGGATCCACTGGACAACTCTGCACGCGACAGGGACGAATGGAGACGTTGCTGGCGCCCGCTCGAGCAATTCGATGATCAACGGGACGACAGGTTGTACAGAGGGTCACCGAACAGGAATTCGGGATTGCATTTTCGGTGATGAACATGTGTTGCTCATGTCACTCAGTTTTCATTTCAGTTATTGTTGGAACGCTTCTGATAGTGGCATGCTGCTTGATGCTGCATGTTTTCCCCAGGTATGCTGTGGTGTAGATTACTTCATTCATATAAACCATAACCTTGTGTGTCGGTTTCGTTTGTGTGTATGCATGTAGTTTGTCTGTTGTCCGTCCGCAAAATGAAGTGAGTGATAAGGCAGCTCATGGAATAAACAACCGCTAACAAATCTGGGTAGCTCGCAGGACTTGCCCTATCATGTTTTGCAATGGCATTTTTGTGATAAGCTTCAACCGCTATATAAACTGGCTGGCTCGGCCATTTTACGAGGTGCTGCGGTGGCAGCTGGAAAGTAGTAAAGAGAGGAGGAGGAACGTAAAGCTCACCCAGAAAAGTGAGGTTGCGGCGGTTGCAGGGGAACCAGTCTGGTGTATACATAAGGGAAATGAAGACAGTTTTGAAAAATTACAGGTTCTTGCTCCGTAACAGCTGGCTCAGATTGAGGAGTGGCATCATTTTTAACATAACTAGAGCTGCGTTGGACAAGAGAAAAGGCGCTTTCACCTAGTTCGGATCTATGGGATTAGCAGGGATTGAGGGCTACCAGATCATTCTATTTCCGCGCTGGAGTCTGACCATAAATATTTCAAGATCTTCTCTCATAACAGTGTCCAAGTCTGGGCACAACCTTGGATTGGTGCTTCTAGCCCTAGCTGTTTCTTAATCCTTTTTGCGGTTCATTTCGCCCAAAATTTGCTTTGGTTCCCAGGTAAACAGTCCTGCAGACGGTCCGGGAAATATTTCTTCAATAGTTCTTCCGAAATGACCTGGTCTAAAGCTCTTGTTCTTCGTCGAGGTTATGTTTGAGCTGTGTACATTGTAGCCGGCTCTGTCAAATCGAACAGAAATTGAGGACGCCCACAAAATTTTCGGAGCCACTGATTTTTGTGATCACGCCTACATATAAAAGGCCTGCTCGATTCGCAGATATGACGCGGTATGTTCGGATATTTTCAGAATTATGTTTATTCTAATTGGAAACATCCCTACTGACGTAGCAAAGCAGTAACTGATGCTTGTCCTTAGCCACCTATAAGTTCTGCTACGTTATGTGGGCGGGAGCATGCTGGTCCACTGCGGAAAAAGACCACTTCCCATAAGGGAGAAGTGAACGTCGACCGAGTCATGTGAACCCGCTAATTTCAGACTCGCAAACACCTTACGTTTGGTTCCGCATTTGCACTGGATTGTGGTTGAAGATGGAAACGAAACAGTCCCTTATGTTGGGAAAATTCTCGAACGATCCACCCTACCTTTCACCTACTTTGCTGCACAAACTCCAGCGGATCATCCAGGTGAGCTTCGTTTTACATAATTTGCGGTAATTTTTTTGCTATATGAGTGAAGATGGGGAATTTTTGGAGTTTGAAGTTAGGGTCGGTGAAACACCCTAGCCTATGGATGGTGTGTGCAAATATGTGTCGTGTCATGGGACTCGTGTAATCAATTAATAATGCACGTAGGGGAACATCGTACGTTTCTACTGCCGTTCCTAGTTGTCCAGTCCGGGGCCATCGGGGCGCTTGGAGCTATGGCTTGACAGAAGATGGCGGGCTGCTTGCGTGACGGCTAGGAAGACCG